TCAAAGTGACATATCTCAACTATAAATGAGTCTTAGAACATAAACGACTTGTTTTCTAGTTCATAACAATGTAATAAACATATTTCAAAAGAAAAAAATGAAATTGTACCAAAGGGGTAGGCCAGCAATAGAAATTTATGGTAATTTAATATTTTCTTGAGGCAAAATTTAAATAATGCATTAAATTGATAATTACCAAAGTCAACACGTGGTGTTTTGCCAACGGCTGCTAATGCGCTATTTATTGCTTTTCATAACCAACGCTTTCATAGTATTCTAGCATAGTGCGTTCTTTTAATCGCTGAAAGTTAAACGCATTATTGTTTAGTGTAAGTATCCGTGGCTTTAATTATGTAACTTAATTGTGTAGCTTATAAATTGTTCGTGATGTTCGGGAGATTGTGTATGCCTATATTTGAGATGTCACTATCTCAAGTAAGTGGATATCCTCACATTGTGTTGTGCACGCCTGTTGAAGTGATATTTTAAGTTCAAACAAAACAATGTAAGTAACTACTGTATTTTAACTTTTTCTTACAATAGGTAGCCTAATCAGAATCCATTGTAGGAATTAACAGTATTGGGGAAGCTACTTTTAAAATGTAGCTAGCTACAACTAGTACAACTACTGCTACATTTTCAAAAAAGTAGCTAGCTACAACTACAGCTAGGCCTACATTGAAATGTAGCTACAGCTACAATTTTAGCTACTTTTCCATAGACGTTACTTTTTAATCCACGCACATTAGATAAATGTAAAGTTAATTGTAACCACATTTTTATCAAACAAACATTTAAAAAAATGTCAGTATTGTATTTAACATTACTTGGAAAGTAAATTATTCCTATATTGTATTTAATTTGTGGGCATTATAAACCTAACATTACAACAACAGAACCAAATAGTTGGGTGTCCCATCATATTAAGTACCTATTTTTAAATATTGCATTATTTGCAAGCATCTTATATGTAAATTTCTTGAGGTTCAAAGGACATACAACCAAACTATATTTTAAAATCTCATTTACACGAGCCTTTTTGGTAGTCTTTTTCCAAGACTCTTCAATGACATCTACATCACCTTCTGATAACAGAAGCATGCCTGGAACATTTGCATGAAAGATTTATGATGTTATAGTAGGACCTGTAGTAACACAGACAAATTTTCAGGTTGATATGGATTTCAGCATCAGGTTGACCATGTTGATCCCATCTTCGGGCAGAGGTGGGTCCAGCATCGAATTCTGTAGAATGATGCGGGGCGTCGCTGCCCGAGTCCCATGAATTGGTCGGTGGCCTACTGCGTAAGTTGTTAATCAACTGCTCCTGAATATTAGGATAGTATTTTTGTTGGTTTATTTCAAAATTCCATGCATTGCGTTACAATGTCATAAGGTAAACTTAAAACTTAACATGGGTCTTGCCATGTCGGTTTAGACGTTAAAAAACAAACGTACGCCAAACAAGAGAATGTAGGAAACACATGTATGAAAACAAGCCATCTACACTACGGTGCACTAGGGGTGTACTAGTGACTTTGATTGTTAGAGTATCTTTTGTGAGCATTAAAATTAATGTAAAAATAAGCAGTCAAGTTATTTTTGGACTTGTTCAATAAAATCTCAAATAAATTATTCCAATCTCAATACTAACATTATTGATCAAACGTAATTACTCTTAAGATTGGGCGCTAAACCTTAAAAACAAGATAGGGCACATGCATATCACAAAATAATACTAATTAAGTGATGAGGAACAGATGCATTTACTAACAGTAACTTCTACAATAACTATTTAGTTAGGTATGAGTAGTAATTAAAATACCATATAATGAGTTTTTCATATATATATTAGCGGTTGTTAAGGTCAGTGTTACATGTAAACGTACATTTTAGTGAATTTCCTATACAGTGTGTAAATAAGTAACAAAACAAACTGTATTTTTTAACCAAAATAGATAGATACATTCTGTTTGTGATATTTATTGTTAAGAAAGGTTTTAATATTCTTTATATAAAAATATTGTTTCACTCACCTCTAAATGGGTGCTTTGGTATATAAACCATATAGACCACAATAGGGGTTGTTATTTTAAAAATAAGTCATCACCACGCCCTACCCTGTTATTAACTTTAAAAAATATTTTTCTTTAACAAGCGCGGGACTTTTGTGAACAACCAATTCCACAAATAGAATGTTTCTTTCAATTTTTGTATATTAAAAATAGGTACACATCTATTTTAATATTTCTGAAATTGGTGGTTTCACATAGGCCTGAATCAAATTTTGGAATACCCACCATTTTGGCTAGGGGGAGATATGCACCTCGTGTTGATTTCATTGTGGAATTTACATCCTGTTTTTACAATAGGAATTTACAGACTGCAATACATAGCTTGTTTCAGACACACAAGAAAATCCGGAAACTGTGGTCAACATTCTGAGGCTACACCAAAAAGGTAGAAGCGGCCCAAGACCCGGGCGAGGAAGGAACAACATGCGTTACAGAGGCAGGAGGGGCTCAGGCAATCGGGGGTCGAGGGGACCACCTAGGAGACCCAGACGATCACCATCCATCCCACCAACACCCCCACCACAACTACCTTCACTCCCACCAACACCCCCGGCTCAACAACCACCACCACCCCCACCTCAACAACCACCACCACCACCCCAACCTCAACAACAACTACTTCAACAAACTTCCGCACTAGGGCTACCACAACGACACCCGGTACTACCACAACACTCCTACCCTGGCATATTCCCTCCTCCCAATTATTTTAACCACCAACCTCACTCCAATACCTCATTTCGCCTCCTACAATTTCCCCATTCTACCATCCACATTTTTTAAGTTTTCAACATTCAAGTTTCCCGTCACCCAATACAACCAAGATCAACCCTCAACAAATCCCTCAACAAATCCCACAACAAATCCCTCAACAAATCCCTCAACAACTCCCACTACGCCACTACATCATTCTCCAGCATCAGAACTTCACACATCGAGCCCCTGACGTGATGCCTCGCCAGGGACATCCCCCTCAACCCGCTCAACATAATGAGCCTGTCCCACCAGGAGTGTAGATATATTTTCTGTGTGTTATATTGTATTTTTAGAAATTTATTATATATATTTTTTATTTCCATTTAAAACACTATAAAATCGAAGAAATTATTACTTACACCCCCTAAAATGTTATAGGTTTAGTTTATTACCCACAAAAATACATGTTTAGCGAAAGTCATGCGACATTAATTGGTTTAATGTAGCGTCGTCATGCAACCGAAGTCAGATGAGCACCTAAATCAACAGAACATAGCTATAGTAAAAATAAATTTATTAAAATAAATTAATTATTATCCATAAAATTAATCATGGAACCGAATGACATTGGATTCTTGTATATTTAGTAACTTGGGTTTTTACGGATTCAAAGTCAGACCACCCCCGCTCAAAAAAATTCAAAGTTCAAAATTCCCCGTTAATTTCAATATGATTCAATATTCAATATGACTTATCTCAACTATAAATGAGTAGACGTTCATAAGCGCCATGTTTTTAAGTTTATAACATTGTAATTAACATATTTCAAAAGAAAAAAAGAAAATCGTGTCAAGGGGATAGGCCAGCAATAGAAGTTTATGGTGGCCCAATTTATTATTTTTTGAGGCACATTTTAAATAATGCATTAAATTGGTAATTACTGATAATTTTATCGAAAAGGTGTTAGATATTGTTTATGAAGAAGTAACTAATATGTACAAACGAAAAAATCGATTTTTAGTAAGTTGGGTTCTTATGGAACCGAGGTCACACCAGTTAAAATCAAAGTGACATATCTCAACTATAAATGAGTCTTAGAACATAAACGACTTGTTTTCTAGTTCATAACAATGTAATAAACATATTTCAAAAGAAAAAAATGAAATTGTACCAAAGGGGTAGGCCAGCAATAGAAATTTATGGTAATTTAATATTTTCTTGAGGCAAAATTTAAATAATGCATTAAATTGATAATTACCAAAGTCAACACGTGGTGTTTTGCCAACGGCTGCTAATGCGCTATTTATTGCTTTTCATAACCAACGCTTTCATAGTATTCTAGCATAGTGCGTTCTTTTAATCGCTGAAAGTTAAACGCATTATTGTTTAGTGTAAGTATCCGTGGCTTTAATTATGTAACTTAATTGTGTAGCTTATAAATTGTTCGTGATGTTCGGGAGATTGTGTATGCCTATATTTGAGATGTCACTATCTCAAGTAAGTGGATATCCTCACATTGTGTTGTGCACGCCTGTTGAAGTGATATTTTAAGTTCAAACAAAACAATGTAAGTAACTACTGTATTTTAACTTTTTCTTACAATAGGTAGCCTAATCAGAATCCATTGTAGGAATTAACAGTATTGGGGAAGCTACTTTTAAAATGTAGCTAGCTACAACTAGTACAACTACTGCTACATTTTCAAAAAAGTAGCTAGCTACAACTACAGCTAGGCCTACATTGAAATGTAGCTACAGCTACAATTTTAGCTACTTTTCCATAGACGTTACTTTTTAATCCACGCACATTAGATAAATGTAAAGTTAATTGTAACCACATTTTTATCAAACAAACATTTAAAAAAATGTCAGTATTGTATTTAACATTACTTGGAAAGTAAATTATTCCTATATTGTATTTAATTTGTGGGCATTATAAACCTAACATTACAACAACAGAACCAAATAGTTGGGTGTCCCATCATATTAAGTACCTATTTTTAAATATTGCATTATTTGCAAGCATCTTATATGTAAATTTCTTGAGGTTCAAAGGACATACAACCAAACTATATTTTAAAATCTCATTTACACGAGCCTTTTTGGTAGTCTTTTTCCAAGACTCTTCAATGACATCTACATCACCTTCTGATAACAGAAGCATGCCTGGAACATTTGCATGAAAGATTTATGATGTTATAGTAGGACCTGTAGTAACACAGACAAATTTTCAGGTTGATATGGATTTCAGCATCAGGTTGACCATGTTGATCCCATCTTCGGGCAGAGGTGGGTCCAGCATCGAATTCTGTAGAATGATGCGGGAGTAGTGGATACATAGGGCTGCTGAGGAGTGACGTCACAAGAGCCATGTGGTGCTTAATTGACGGTTAAGCATCTGGTGGTAATGGTGCGTGACCTAGCACGTGGTGTGGTGGGTCACGGTATGGTGACGTCATGCTGACGTGTCAGACCTAGGGTGGATCGATATTTTCAAGGTTATTGTTGTGGTTTAAAAAAAAATCAGCATATCGGTAAAGGGATAAGTACCGATATGCTGATTTTTAATTCTTTATTGAAAAATCAAAATTTACATAAAAGGAATATAATTGTTTTGAAAACTTAAACCTAATACAGTTCTAAGCTAAAACTAAACATTTGGATCATAGAAGTTATTGGAGGTCTACTACAGTGACAACAGTTGTCAAATTGTCATCCACACATGTTGCAAGCGAAACAGTGTTTGCATCGGTAAGAAGAGTAAATTACGATTTTTTTGTCCATGCATATTATACACTCAAAGTTTGTTTCTTTTATTGGAAACATAGTAGGAATTTCGTTAAATTTGAGAAATTAGCTATATATACGATATAAAACTGTGCGAGATAACTATTTGTACATGTTACCTTTGCAATGTTTGCGATATAATTTTTTGTTAATGAGATGTTGTCTTTAGCTAGTTCCACTACAGACTAATGAGAGACCCATCATACACATTCTTTTATGCTGTTTATGATTGCTATCTGGTATACAGCAAACATTCGCAATTGAAATATTTCCACTTTTGTCTTTGCATTTTATAAGATCGTCAAGTGAAAAGTTTGTTATTATGTACATATTACGAAAAGTGTTTGGATTTTGGTTTGCAATGTTTCTGTGGGAAAACTTATTAAAAACCACTATTTTATTATATCACCATTATAAACATAAATTCAGAACTAAACTAAAATATCACTTTAATCCTGCAAGGTGTATCAGCTATTTAACTGGTATGGAAAAGTAATGTACACAGTGTTTCTACTTCTTCGTGAACAGTTGGCGGTACATGCGGGCAGATCATTGTTCCACTAATTACAACCATGTGCCACATTTGCAACATAGGCCTAGTACCTTATATTTCTAAGACTTGTTTATTCATTCAAATCGTTATGTTTTTGAATGATTTTTTTAAAATAACAAACATTTGGTATATTGCACATTGCTTAATGTTAGACGTACAAACGATCAAGCTATAAAAAAACAAATTCCCCACTCTTTACCCTATAATTTACTATTTATTTAAAGCAAATGTTGACTCTCATTAAATACTCTTGGTTGTATTGTAATCCAACGTATTTCTGTTTATCGTTTGTCCTTTTGTGAAACTGTTTGAATGTTTTTTTATTGCTAGTTGTAGTACAGAAAACTATTCAATTTAACTAATTTCACTGTTAAATATGTACAAATGTTAGGTAAGCTTTCTTTCACCGTCTTCTAGTCTTTCTAATATATCTATCACTTCATTGCTGAACATGAATCTTTTTACACTGTATGATATTATATAAGCATCGGTTTATGACCTAGCACGTGACCTAGGACATGGTGTAGTGGGTTATGTCATGGTGGCGTGTCAGAGCTAGGGTGGATCGATATTTTCAAGGTCGTTGTTTGGGTTTAAAAAAATCAGCATATCGGTAGTGGGATGAATACCGATATGCTGATTTTTGTTAATTCTTTATTGAAAATTTAAAATACACACAATATAAGGAATATAGCTGTTTTAAAAACTTAAACCTAATACAGATCTAAACTAAAAACACTTGGATCATAGAAATTATAGGAGCTCTACAGTAACAACAGTTATCGAATCTCCATCCGCATATGTCACAAGCGAAACAGTGTTTGCATGGCAAGAAGAGTAGATTACGATTTTTGTTCATGCATATTATACACTCGATGTTTGATTCTTCTATCGGTGGGGGTACAGCAATGTTGTTTGTTGGAATCCTTTTCTTTTGTAGGGCGTTTCTTTCGGTTCTGGATCTCATTTCGTTGACGAAATCTTGTCCTTTGTGTACCAATACGAACGGACACTTGGGAAACCATTTCGCGTGTTCTTCCCAAGGATCATCGATATCTTGCCAATGGTGTAGTCCACCACCGCAGTAAAAACAAATCGTTTGGTCCTTTTTTCCTGCGTAGAAGAATCCTGCTTCAGCGAGTTCGATTCTACATTCGCTAACAAAACTTCTCGTTCGGGCGTGTATGTACGAGTTGATCCTATCATTTTCTTTTGAATATTCAGGATGTTTTATACACCACGACATGTTACTTCGAGCTCCGATGAGAGTAAAGTGGATAGTAGTAGGTCTCGCATCGTCCTTTTATGCGGTAGGTACCTTATTTTCGTGGAATGAAAACCAGCTTCTGATTGGTTGATTACAGCAGACGTTGCAATGTTCAAGGTCATCCAAAGTAAATTTTAAAAAACAACATATCGGTATTGAAACAAAATACCGATACGATCTAGCTTTTATTTTTCCCATATTTATTTCAAACATTTAGATAAACATATTTACAATAAACATTATTTTGACTACGCTAAATTATTACATTTGCAAAACTAAACCTAAGATACAAATCAAATGAAGGTGAGGTGTAATGAAGAGGGTTCCCGATGATGGTGGTGTAGAATGCTCCTGTTTTGACTTGTGGTCAGGTCGTAAATTTATGGAGTTATTTCGTACTGAAGGAGTAGATTGATTGTGTTTAGTCTCGTTGCAAAGATTAGGTGTAATGGTGTAGACTTCTGATTGTAGCGGTGGGGTAGAGCACTCCTCGTCGTAGTCAGACCCGTTGTAATCACTAAAGTTCATAAATGGTAAATATTGTCCATGCTCCTTTAAGAATATCCCCCTCGTTTGTTGATGTTCAAATATTAAATTCCAATCTAAATGATCTTTGTAGTTTTCGATAAAACTTTCAGAAAGGTTTTGATATTTACAAATTTCCTTCCAACAGCAGTTGTTGAAAGTAGGAATCATCTCTACGAGTATTTCTTCTGAGAACCGTTGTCTTTTTAAAACGTGAAACCAATTCACCCTGTGAAAGTACATCCTCAACATTTCTATAGTGAAAATGTAGTGCAAAGAAAGAAGTTCCCAGTCCATAAACGTGTCGAAACGTTGCACAAAACTATCGGATAACACTCCGTGAGGAAATCGAGGTTCTTGCGAGATTAAACTCCAAGCACTCACGTTGGTACCCATCGTGTTATCGTGAACCTTAGAGTGTGCAAACTGAACGCTGGAATACTGTGGCAACCCTTTTATGTGATTGTAACAAACTTAGGTGTAGTGATGTTTGCAGATTTAAATTTGAAAATTTAAACCTAGAGATATTTTTTTTGTTATTCAGATGATCTGGTTTCATATGGTTTGAGAACCAAAGCTAGCTCATTAAGTAAACGTGTGATGTTACTTCTGTTTAAGCCAATGCTACAACAAACACAAGTATCGGGACCACAAGTTGCATCATCGTTTGACCATGGACATTCCTTATAATGCTCACCATATTTGGACTTTGTTTTTGCTGACAAACCATGCCTATCTATTTTTCTCTGGATTTCAATAATGTTTTTGATTATTCTTTCGAACTTCAGTACAGCTTCTAAATTCCAACTCACCAACCCTAGTGCAGGATGTGTTAAAACTCGATACAATTCGTTGTTCATGATGGGTTTCCTTTAGCTGGTTCTACTTCAGACTGATGAGCGACCGATGTTACACCCCCCTTTTATGTTGTAAAGTTCAAGGTCATCCAAATTTGTTAAAAAAAAACAGCATATCGGTATCAAAACAAATACCGATATGCTGTTTTTTTACTCTTTATTTATTTATTAAATCTTTTACAAAAGTACATTCTACAAACAGAACTTAAATCTAAGGACGTTGTGACATGTGAAGAGATAATTCTGTAGAGTTGTTTCCGCTTGACCCACGAGACACCAGGTACAGGGATCCGGGTTCGATGCTTCTCAGATCTTCATTTTGTAGTAGATGTACAAATCGTTTAGGTAGAAATACTTGAAACTTCGGTTCATCCCCCGAAGTAAATGGTGCATCACTTAAAGAAACCACGATGGCATCCCCGATGGAAGTGTCAATCTTCTTGATATTGTGAATTGTATAATGTTTGTTTTCTTTTAGTTCTGAACACTTTTTAGTAAGTAAACAGTTTGATTTGGACTGTGCGTTGAATTGATCAACAAACGTTTGTAGGAAATGTGAACTCATGATTTATTTAGTTCGTCGTTGTTGCTAGCTTGGAGTCTAGAGTAATACTCATGCATTGTCAAGGTTTGCTCTTCGTATTTATACCCATCGCTACCCCCACCACTCCTCATTGGCTCCAAAAAAGCTGCTAATCGGTATACATTTTTCAATGCGCACTGTGATTGTGTATGTTGTTTGTTTTTTACTAGTCGACATATATTTTCCAACTTGGGAGATTCGAAATTCTTATCCAATATCACGTCGTAAACTTGCCGAGTCGTATATGCTTGTATCCAATTACGTTTTTCTAATCCTCTTGTGTATACAGTTGTAAACTCATTACAAAAATGATACATAATATTTTCGAGACTCTTGTAGTTTGTAAACCCTTCACACCAATCGATACTATGGAAGTATCTCGTAGTCCATTTATTGGTTCTTTTCGTTTTACTGTTGAGATTATTAAATGCGAATGGAGGTTCAAATAGAAATGGAAAGACAATTCCTGTATTTAAATCTAGGAATACTAGTTCCTTTATGATATATTCATTTTTGTTTCCTCGAAAAGCTTGAAATTCCACTACACAAGGTTTTTCTTGAATTTCTTCAACTCTGTCAGCGAAGGAAATCTTCCTCTCCATATCGTTTTAAGATAACAACTGGTTTCCACACCACGGTAGATCCCTTTTTTATAGATCAGGCCGTACAGTTGTCAGCGCGTTGGTGTATATTTAACGGGGGCACCTTCCCCCCAGTAGGCCTACCCCACGTGATGTTAACATATTTGCTGTCCTGTTTACATCGGCTACAGCTTATCTGTTGTTTCCTTTTTTATTTCTTCTATTTTTCTCCGTCTTGCAAATTCATTACACCTTTAACATCACTCGTCTGTTCTGCTACTGTTGAAATTGTTTCGTGGTTTTCCTCCGTCACTTGTTCCTCCGTTACACTCACAGAACTAGATCCTTCTATCTTTTCTTCGTCGATGTTTTCCCTCTGTTCCAACGCGTTAACTTGTCTCCACATTTCCACCTCTTCTGGTATCCGGTTGAATATCGATGTATCCACAGGTCCATGCAATATCTGAACGTCGGGTTGTTTTTCCATCGTTTCCACTAAGTAATCTTTCACGACAGGGGAAGAAAAAACTAGCTGCCTCATGTATCTTGTTATCGATGATGTAGAACAACTCAATAAATAAAATTCAGAATTGGTAAGTAAAATTCTTTCATCGTGTTTGGTTAGCTCCCTAAATCTAACTTGCTGCTCCCCTCGCTGTTTAACAACATCTATCTCGATGTCGCAGTCTGAGAGCCTGATTGCAGTTTTTCTTCCAAACAGATTGTTCTCCAAATAACATTCTATCAAATGCAAATGTTTAATAAACGATTCCCAAGCATTTTCCGAAAACAACAAAGTTTTAGCACCATGGTTCAATAGCACTGTTGGAGAATAATCCAACGGTTTGTACATACCGATAGATATAATTTTTGTCATACATCTTGAAACTGGATATGATATACGAAGAAATACTTCTATCAACTTGTGTAGTGGCATTTCCTCTTCTTGTTTCCTCTTCCTTTTTCCGATTACCTTCGTTACGATGTTGGTGTTTACATCATTTTCTGTACGTGATTCTTCTTCGTTAAAAGATAAAAATTCAGATACTGCTTCTTTACATTGGTTTTTGTTTTTTTCATCTTTTAATAACATTGTTGTTGTTGTATCCGTTGCACACTGCGATGATCCCATCTTTGAAAGCGATGTTTTCCGTACTGAGAGTATGGATAAACTGAAGCTTTCCGATTACTCTGAGTTTTATTTATACCCTCCCGCAACGAGTGTTTCCATCTACAACACTACTTTTACAATTCCTTTTAGAGGTGTGTATGTTACAGTCTTATCATGCAGAATCAAACAATAAGCGGATATTCCTTCGTTTGTATTTTCATTCAACTCCAATTACAACTTTATATCCACGCTTGAAGATTTTACAGATTAATTTTGTTTGGAACAATCTATAACCACGACTGGAGCTTTTGAGACACCTAATTTGTTAGAGATCTTCTTCACTATCCACCACTACGGTCTTAAATTTTGATAGATTTTTTCTTTGTTCACCATCATACAAAGGTGTGATATAGCGTTTTTCCTCATTCCAAACAAACTTTGACCCCCTGTGTGTTATAAGCTTTCCACCAACTCGATATACGTGTGTGCGAAACTTGTAATCTCCACCACGATATGTTGCAAATCCACTCATACTTGTAGCTTTTGCTATTACTACAGGTTTTGAAGGACTATTTACAACCAAATCAAATTCAACATCACCACATTTAAATATATCTTTTTCGAAATCATATGTCAACGTTTGACTGACAGTGCTTACATCATCTTTGTTAATACCTTTGGCTACATGAGTAATTCTTTTATTTTTACCATCGTAGCAACATCCTTCTGGAGGAAAAACAGCTTCCTTGACTTCTTTTACTGTTAACTTAAGGTCATTATTGGAGGATTTCAAGTTTTCAGTTAATGTTGAAAAACCATTACTCATTTCCTGCAGTTTTTCCAACTTTTTATTTAGGTCACTAAGTCTTTCTTCCAATCCTTTCAATTCCAGTTTATTAATATAGTAACGGGTTAAATAACCTCTTGTTACTGCTTGACGTGCGGTTTCAGGATCCGACGAAACCCTAAACCGTTTAGTATCTTCATCGTCATAATCTTCGTATTCATCTTCCAAATCTTTTCTTTCTCGTTTTTGGGTGTACAGAGAGTGGCCAAACTTATCAATAATGTGATGTTTTATCATTGGAGATGTTTACTGTAGAGTATATGTAAACCAAATAAGTATAATCCGAGAACCTAGCAATACTTATACTCTAATAAAAATATTGGACAGATAAGAATGATTTTTCTACTTAAGCTATTTTTAATAAGTGTTTACTTGATCTTGTTCAAATGAAGACAAACTGTTATTCTCTCGTTTCTAAAATCAACTAGTCTGTTATCTTGATCCATAATTTTGAGCGTAATATTACTAATTGTCT